GAACCTTCGCCATGGACGCGGCGTCACCCGGACAGCCTAGTAAATACCGTAGTAAACATAACATTCATACTCTTAAGCCTATTACATCATTGTTATACTACGACGTTTGCAAATACCTCTGGCAAGTATCAGCTGTTGACAGTTTCATCCAATCGGGAGCTTGAATGTCACCATAGGACGTTCAATCTCCTGATTGGATGAAACCGTGAACTGCTTTTACCTACCAGGTTCAGAATTTCATAAATTGCTAAAAATCTAAATTATACAAAGCACTTCTAAATCCATAATTCTTATTCATTTTCTTCACACTAACTCCCTTCATCTCTGTCTCCCAAATGCATTGTATTACTCGTGCAGCTTTTCTTGAACGATGGATTGAAGAAATGTGGATAGAGTAGGGGTATTAGTTATAAAATCGTGCACTAGATTTTGAGGCAATGCCAACCTCTGGAAAATTGGTCATGCCATCGCAACATTCTCAATAATTTGCGTTGTAAGTTTTTTAAGAGTTGAAGGTATCTTGTGTAATAGATTTTTACCCGCTAGTCATTTTTTTTAAAGATTTTTTTTTGGAGAAAATAACTGGTAGAAGTTCTTGTCTACAAAAGAATTTTTCTTCTTTTATTTCATACCAGTGAAGATGTGTTTGGAATGTTGTCTACAGTGCTCGTTGCGAGCTTCTTCCTTCATCTGTTTATTGTACCAGAGAGGGGAAAGCAAGGTCATTGTTCCAGAAAAGTTGAATGAGTAATATCACAGTGTTTGGAAATAATAAACAGTGTAGTTGTGGCACTCGCTTCAAATGCTTATTGAAAGAATGGTCTTTAGCCATTACAATGAGTAATACTTCAAATCTAAGGCTATGTGCGCTAATCAGTTATACTCTAATTTGTCACCTATACGCCTATACACAATTCCATTCAGTGCATCAACGACTGGGATACTGTTATAACTAGAAATATGCTCCAGTCAAAGGTTTAGTTAGGAAGATTTATCACTCACCTCTCCCAACTCACGTGAACAAATATTAAAGAACTTTGCTGAAGTGACTTCTCAAATGTCTACTGCACAAAGCTGCAACAGCTCCTCATGAAGAGCCAAGAGCTGGCGCAACATTGATAGCAGGGATATCCTTAGCTGATGAGCTTGGAATGTATTACCTGCCATAACAGCGGCAGCAAAATCTTGTAAACAATTTCCCACACTGCAACATGAAGAGGAAAATATATTATAGTCCATGTACAAAAATTGTAACAAACACTATTGACGGCAGGTTCCCAAGGTTAGGCCAATTAAAACAGTTTTCCTATTGTCAATATTCTCAGTGCCCATTAGCAGTACAAGATAATGCTAAATGGGCATCATACATTGAAATTAGCTTACACGTATTTTATAACTATTTTCTTTATCACTTTCCTTTACCTTATTCACTATTTATAAACAAAAAAATCTTGGTAAGAACCTTAATTTTTCTAAAAAATTAATGTAAGACCCATTAAAACTTTCTAAATACAAACTCTTACTTTTACTCAATCTGATCTGCATTAATGTTTGGCAGAATGCAAGAATAGTACTCCAATCCACATGAACTACAGGCTATTCATTTGCTGATCACTAGTCCCGAAGTTTGGCAAAATGCCTTTTTATCATTGTTATGATTTGATGACATAACGTAGTCACTTAATTGCACTTCTGGAGTTGTTTTAGTTCATTTTCATATTGCCTATTCTAGCTTCTGATGCCTATCTTTAGCATTTAGCCTTATTTGTGCCTGTCTTCTTATCCATTATTTTTTTACACCGTACTTTAACGAGAATAAATGCTGTTTCCCCATGCCTATTTTACAAAAAATAAATGCCATTTTGCCTGCCTATTTTAGGCAAAATAAATGCCTGAACATCCAGGCTCTGCTGATCAGTCTCATTTCAGCTTCTCAGAGTCAAGTCGTTCCCATAGTTAAAGTAGTCTGGTACACACTTAGAGCAGTTTTGACTTTAGAGAATTTTCTTGTATCAAGATCCACAAAACCTGAATTCTGACCACACTACACATTCAAGATTAATGTATTGCTGATAAGATCAAGAGAAATCCATTCTTTCAATTCTAGAGACCTACAATTCAACATTTTAATTGAAAAATCATCACTTTCTTCACAGCATTTCAATACTTTCTCTATATTAATTAAGAGAATAAGATAAAGTAATAGTGGTTTATAAATTTTGGGTGGATTCTTTCTACCCTTTTCTATCAAATCCAGCATCATCCAAGCTGCTTTGTGATTCCTTTGAGCCATGAAGATCACATCTTAGACAATATTGTTGAGCATCCTAGGTTTCTAAACAGTATACTCTGTACTAATAGAAGTGAATTCATCAATGTGTAACAGACATTGATATAACAAAGGGTAGAGTATGAAGAGAGATGAAATTCTTACAAACACTTCTTCAGGATTGTCGCAATGGCCTTGCTAAGTTTAATAAGTACTAATACAACATAAATGCGGAACAAAAATAAATTAAATAATATGTTGGTAGATTCACCACAATCATTATCAAAAGTTCATTTTTATTCACACCATTTTATGTAAACATTGGAAAAATTAGTACTTACATAAGTAAGTACTTACTATAAGCAAATCATATTTACTACAAACAAGACCTTGTTCTTCAGTTTTATACCCAAAATGTATGTACAAAATACTTCGAAAGTTTTTGCTGTAGGCATTCACAACAAGGAAGTAAAACATGCAATTCTGAAATAGGTGGTCTTATGTGTCTACAAAGATATAATCTCTGTCCTATGTCCATAAAAACTAATCATCTGTATTAAATAAAGACTTTCACAAATATCCGAACATTCAGCAACAATGTGAACACTTTGGGACAATCCATTTTCAGTTAAATTAGAATCAATTCAAGTTTAAATGCTAATACAATATTTTCTATGGCATCCAATTTTTTAATGCAATATAAAATGAGACAAACCTCAAGTAGGCAGCACAATAAATCGAGACACATTTTGGTATCTCAGAATCATTATTGAAATGATGACACTGGTAACAAAACGGTGACACTGATGCGTTTTCCAATTCATTTGAAGTAATGTTATAAGAAACTGGAATAAAGAGAACACAAATAAAAATACGGCACAAATGACGACGAATTCTACAACACTATATTATAAGTATGGCAATGCACTATAAAGACTGTAAGAGACGTAAAATTACACGCCGAAAGTAATTTGCGAGAAAAAGCCATTCACACAAAATTTTGAAAACCACACACACTTAAATGAAAGAAAACCCTAGGATGTGATACAGCTCAAATCTATCCAATGTAGTAACAAGTGTGCATTAGCGTTTTCAGCTTTTCTTCTCTTTGTTATCCACACATTAAAATATGCCGCGAGTGGTCGTTTATTCACGTTGTAAAACACAACTCACGAGTTGGTCAATTAGTAGTATTAATACAGTAATTACAATAGCGTATTCTTCCTCATGAAAGGAAAAAGCTTTCTGAAAACTTACGTGAAGAAATCAAAACAACCTGAGCGTCTTTCCAAAACTAATCTAGTCAGCCTCTCGTGAACGGCCCGGTATACAAAGAGACCATTCCGGATCATTCACACAGTAATAGCAATATACTTACTGAATAAATCAACGCACGTACAAATTAGTGCATGTCCAACAGCATAAATCGAAAGATTTATATTCAGACAGAAATCAGGAAGACCGTCTAATCCTACGACTGTCAATTCGCTTTCCGCTCTTGCACCAACTAACACTTTGCCGCCATGAACCGCGGTACGCCGGCCATGCGCGAATGGCTTGGAGCAAAGAGTATACATCAGCAAGACAATTTTGAGCAGTTTTGTGAACGCTCGGTAAGCGCAACGTACGTCTACGCCACTGCGGTGAGGCCATTGGAGCAAAGAGTATATATCTTAATCGTATGCAATTCACAATAAAAATGGACGTGCAACCGGCAATTTATCTTTAAGAAATACGAAAAATAAGAGTCAGTATTTTGTGGAATGACCTTTAGCATGAATAACAGCCTCCAATATTTGCTGGAATTGATTTTATTAGCTTCCTTGTAAATTCAGGTGCGATTTTCTTCCGTTCATCAGTGAGGACCCTCGAGCTCTTTTTTATTTGAAACTTTATGCTTCTGCTCACGTTTTTTCCAATTCACGCCCCAGGTTCTAAATTGTATTGAAATCGAGTGATTGAGGCGGCGTTTCATGCTTTGGTAACAGTGGTGGCTGATACCCCAAGAGCCCGGAAGTTGCAACTCCTTCCAATGACGGTAATGAAATTTGTAAAATTGAAAATACGAATCGTATGTATTGAAACATTACGTACTTGCATAATTTTTTATGCATAATGTTCTTGTTAGGTCTATACACCTTCCGCACAGGTGGTTCAGGCTTTATTTTCCACTGGGGACTTGTGGCGGCTCGTACTTTGGTTGCACAACCCCCAAATAACGAAAAATATCTTATATCTTAGGAATATACATTTTCCTTTCAATGACATTCAATATTCAAGGTATTACAGCAATATCGATGTGTAAAAAATCATATTGAAACCAAAGAGCGGCGCTCTCTCCGGTGTCTGGTGCCTTCCCAGGTATTGCTCCACACTCTTGGCTCTGTTGGGTTTACTGCATTTACTCTTTGACCTTTCGCTTTAACATGGGGAAATGCGGCCTTTAGTGGCGCAACCAAATGGGTGTGTGGTGGAAGGGGGAGTATGTTACAGAGTCGGCACTCAATGTTATTCTGAATCTCCTAATTTTTATGGAGGGAAGAAGGCCGACCCCCACTCCGACAGAAGCAACGAATCAGAAAGAAGCATTCATTTCTGCCCCTCACCAGCCAATAAGCGTTGGAAGGCGATCTATCAATTGAAATGGAGGGCAGGCGTTACCCGGGACACTTGAAATTACATTATCTAGCAATATTTCAATATGGCAGGCGTTAAAGAACAATCTATTTTACGTGAAATTAATGCGTAAGGTAATGTAGACGTCAGTAATTCTGAAAGGATTTATAATTGTGAGGTAGTTAAATAAATTGTAATAATGCAAGTGGAAATAAAAAAGAAGGTATTTCATATAAATAATATTTATTTGTAAAATATGATATACACGTCATATACAGAAATAGAATATGCATGAAGAAAAATCCTGTTATGTGAAATAAAGGAATAAATTTTGACCAATCATCAAGTGCAACACTAATATTACACTTAATTTCACTACAGCTAAACAATACAAAATATAACCAAATGAAACATACAAATACCTACTTAAAATTATATCTATATATAATTTTCAATCTTCCCGTCACCTTGTTGGATGCAAACGGAATGGTGACAATTATATATACATATAAGGAGCGATAATCGCGCACATGAAAACTGTTCAAATAATTGGTTGTCTCGGTACCTTAGTGGTTATAGAATCTGAGCGTAAACCAGAAGGCCCAGGTTCGAATCCTAGGTAGGGCAACCAATTCTTTGAAAAAATTGATCTATTAAAATTCTTATTTATCTTTCATAAAAGAATTCTTAAAATCGTCATTCTGCAGTTGTGAAGAAATATGTTTAGAAAATAGTGTACATTTCCTGGAAACAATCCCAATCTATTACACAAAGAGCTATGTATATAGTTCACAAGACGAACAGTTAAGAAGACTTTTTATACGAGAAACAAACTCCTTCATTTTGTTCATATTATATGTATGGAAGTGAAACTATAACTATTTACATTGTCAAGGCAGATTTCTTCTATTCTTTTGATCAGTGAAATACTGGAGTCCTGCAGCTTTGATGTACAGGAAAAAATCCATCTTATGTGTTAAAAGAAGAGATGTTATGCCATATGTAGGAAAAAATATGGAGTAAATTTAACAGAATCTAGATTCTAGAATTAGATTTGTCCCAAAATACTTTTTAGACTTGTAAATTTGCATTACGACAATACATCAATTGTGCAAAAGCTCAGCAAGTTGCTCAATAACACACAAATTCACATCATACACTCATAATTACATAATATTTCCTATTAGATATTGAATTGTTTTTAATTATTAAGAAAAGATTTTCATTATTGTCTGTTCAGTCACGACAACATTTTTTTAAAACACTGTGATGTCAAACTAAATTGAGGGACATTAAAGGTGATTAACACATACAAATAATTATCACTTCTCAAACACTGGCTAACTAATGTTTGTGCCATGATACTCCCTATTATTCTTATCATTCCGCCAATTGGATAATGTTCACATATGAATGTATTTATATAGATAAAATGCAAGAAAAGTGCACTTTATAACTTCCTTTTTAAAACATATTTATATGCATAACTTTGTAACAATTTAGTCTGTTGCAGGTTTAATTAAGAACATATTGAAAGAAAACAACACAAGATTCTCAGAAATTCAAACTGCATGGCATGTCCAGCGTTGCCAAGCGTCCTGCTTTTGGTAGGACAGTTCTACACTCACAGTGAATGTCCTACGTCCTACAGTGAAGCCTAATGTGTTCTACTTTGAAAATAAAATATTAAGTTGGTTTATAAATCTGTATAATTGATTTTTAAACGCCTGGATATGATTTTATGGACACAATAACATAACATTAATTTATTAACCCAACAAAAAAAATAAATTGCGTTTTACTACAAATTTCTCCTTTTCGCCACTGCAGTAAGCGCTCGTATCGCTCCACTTGGATTTGAATTGTGATTGTCCAAGAAAATGTATTTAAACCAATTTTTTGCGCATTGCAAAACCACTACAAGTGCAGTTTTAATTCAATATTTAAATTATTTGAACAAATATTTGCAACCAATTGGTAAGTTGCAAATTATTGTATTATATTAAACACATTACTTTTATAATAATAATAATAATAATAATAATAATAATAATAATAATAATAATAATAATAATAATAATAATAATAATAGATATTACATAATTATTATTAGAAAATAAATGTTTAAAATAACCTAAAATTAGCTCAATACACATATCAATAAAAAATAATTTTACTTTTAGGTGGATAAGGCTTCTGTGTGCAGTTTTCTCATTGAATTTGAAACTAACTTTTTCAGATTTGAATTGTAAGTCCATTATGTTTTAAAATATATTATTAGGTCGTTGCAAATGAAATGATCGATATTTATACTCCTGTATAATCCGGAAATTTCATTTGCAACGATGTAATATAACAAAATAATTATTTTCTGTTTAAATTTTGATATATATTCACTTGTATTTTAGATATTAAATATGTAAAAATGGACACTTCAATGACAACTGATTACAAGAATATACGTGGCTTAAAAAAAGTAAACGATTCTCAAGACCTGTGCAAATACTGTTTAAATACATTTTCAATTGAATTGAAAGGTGTGTCTGCCATCAAGCAGCATGGAAATAGTGAACATCACTCGAAGATGAAAGCATCTGCTAGTTCTCAATTGATGGAAAAAGTCGTCATTATAAAGGATACTCATGAAGAATTACAAGTTATTGCCATTGAACTAGCTCACATATATCATGCAGTAAAACATAACCAATCCTATAATTCGTTAGATTGTTTGATGAAACTTGTTCCTAAAGTATTGCCAAAAGATAATAACTTTTGCAAAATTTCTTGTGGAAGAACAAAAGCACAGGCAATTGTTGAAAACGTGTTAGGACCAAAAAGAAGACGTGATTACCGAAATAAAAACGAACGATTCGTATTTTTCTATTAGGAATGATGCATCTAACAAGAAAAATTGGGAAATTTTCCCATTTACAGTATTTTTCACGAAACGATGGTTTGCAGCAAAATATAGATTTTTACGAAAATTGCGATGAATCTGCAGATGGCATGTTTGCTTGCATCAATGATTTTTTTAAAGATTTAAATTTAGATGTTTCAAAAGTTACAACTCTAAGCAAAGAGTCTAAGCGCTGACAACACAACGTCAAGTTCGGTCGTATTCATTCGCTCTTCGTCAATTTACAAAAAGTAAATCCGAATATTGTAAAAGCTAATTGTCACGCGCGCATATTGCACAAAGGGTTGAGATATGCTTTGGAAGATTTGTCTCTAGACATTGAGAACCTTGTTTTAAAAATCAACGCACATTCTAGTTTGTCATCGGTACGTCGAAGTGAATTTCAAAGCTTTTGTGAATTTTTAAATGTTGCATTTACTGATTTTTCACGCCGATGCGCCAACTCGATGGTTATTGTTACAACCTTGTGTAGAAAGATTGTTACGAGAATGGCCGGCATTAGTTTCACATTTTCACAGTCATGTTAAGAACTTGTATGTAGCTTTAAAAAACGCTTTGCATTTTAAAAGCGAAGAAATCTCTCCGACAGTTGAGATGAATTTATTGTTTGCCAATCACTTGCTTGCAGTTTTTGAAAAGCCCATTTAAGTATTACAAAAAGATAAGATCACAATTATTGACTTGTACGCGATTTTGAATGACTTCAAGCAACAACTATCTTCTAGGATAGAGGAACAGTTTTTCGGGTATGAAGTTATGCAAAATCTGAAAGACTTGACTTTTTATGAAAATTAAAAGTTTGAAAAATAATTTTTGAATGTTTATAGCAAAGCATTGTGGCAAAAATATTTGAATTCGATGAACAATCTGTAATCGAAAAGTTGTCAAAGCCTAAAGTTAATAATTAAGAACTGCCAGAATTTGAAATGTTTGTTGAAATTGTGGAACTATTGCGTATTTGAAATATGAATAAGTTGTTTGATGAGATTGTATGTATTAACGAATAGCAATTTGGTGGCCGAACAAAAAATAGCCAGTGTCAGTTTGTGAAGAACTTTGATTCTTTACATTTTAACGGTTAATTACCAAACATTGTTTTTAAAGCCTTTACCATTACCTCGTTGGCCAGAAACCAGAAGACATCCACTTTCTTTGGTTTGTGAATTGCTGAAAAATATTTAACAATTAAATTACACTGCCACAAGACTGTCGACGATAATGGGCAACATTATACAAAACTCATTCTCTTTTCTGGGTAGCGGTTATTATAAACAATTGTAACAAGTGTTCACTGATGTATTGCTTGTTCTAATTTTTATTTTTGTCTTTTTTATTAAATGCCATCAAGCGTATGCTGATTTCCAGTAATAAATGTATTACTATTATTTAAATGAATGTGTTTTGTAAATGTGTGTTAATAAGTAGAGTGATTCGACATAAACGTTTCGGCGTGGCGTGGGATGCGCCGAAACAAAAGGGCTGAATATCACGGTGACCCGAAATACACGCAGGAAGAGCCAAACTGCGCGTTTCCTAGCGTCTTTCTCAGCGGCGTTATACGCAACGTAATTCTAGAACATACGCGTTGCCACCTGATACGTTCGATCGTCCCATTACAGTAGATTTGCAAATTGTGAACATTTGAGAGAAAAATGAGCCACATAATTCCTTCTTCCACAGTCTATTCACTATATAGATAATTTTAACAGCAAGTGCGTAGGCTTCCGCGGCCGGGGTCAGTGTTTCTCAGGGCGAAGGAGGAAGGTCGCAGAATGGCAACCGAAACGTCAGCACCTTCGCCATGGACGCGGCGCCACCCGGGCAGCCAAGTAAATAATTTTAACAGCAATAAGTGGCTCCAATTCCAAGTGGAGGTTGATCATCCGATATCAAATATTAATAATCAAAACTTTGCTCAAGGATAGATTTTCCCACTTGCAGAATCCCATCCAAACAATGCGTAGTTACCAACCTCATTTCCCTATAGTTTCAGAGTATTCTCATCCTCCACCTAAATCCCCTTACGTCCCATCATTAATTTCCGCATGAAACGAAATATCTACTCCGCCATACCAACCAAAAAACACTTCTCGGACACTCACAACTCCGACTCTATATCCATCACAACAACTCAAACCACCGCAGCTGAACATTTCACAGAGTTTAGACGAAGAAAATAACGGAAAATGCCAAGTTCACTCAATTCATCAAGCACATTTTAATTCCTATGTATAAACTAATATTAATGTTTTTATTAATATCGTTTATATTAATCTGAATTTCATTAATGATTATCTTTGGGAAATTATCCCAATTATTTATATATTATCCTGTATTATTTTCATCTCCCTCTGTGTTATTGCCAATATTTCTACAGGTTGAATACAATTCATTTTGGTACTTGCGACGAATTGTGTCTTTCAACTGGCCATGCAGTTCGCCAAAGGAAGTCATTGACATTCAGAAATAATAGAAGAATTTTGGTCATCCTGCCTCAACTCTTCCAATAATGTGTAGAGAGCACCAATTTAATCTCTTTTCATTAATTGGATCAACACAAATAAGTTTTTTCTTTGCCTTTTCATTCGACGACGAAGTAATAATAACGCTAGAAGCTGCTCTTTATTAATTTTTAAATACACACGCAATAAAAAATTTAAAAAGAGTGTACTGGATTGGTTTTACAAACCATAAAATCTCCTATGGTGTTGGAAATATTTCCGCTGTGTCGACGGTAAAATTTCCGTCCAAAGAAATCCCCTATGTGGGGCATCCTGCACATGAGCGTTACGCTGACGCGCGTCAGAATATCTTATTCAAAATCGTAAAATATTGCATGTCGTATATAGTGTCTGCGAAACGCCGTACAAGCGCTTTTGGCCATTCCACTTTACGACGCTCGTGAGACATAGATGTAAATGTTTTGTTAGAATAAATGGTGAAATTTATAATGTGATATTTTACCCTACAACTGTTCATTAAATAATTCAATCAAGTTGCGTGAGCCGAAACCTATTAAACAATGATTCAATAGTTGTATGGGCGTGAATTATGTAATATTGCATGCTTGAAGGAAGCTGCCAGGCTCCGATTTCAGTGGAGTTAAATATTTGCATTTCATGAAAATCAATTTAGTTATACTTCAATAAAACTGTAATATGCTTTTCCAGGAGAAAAATACACTTCAAAGATATATTTGGTCTGGAATGTAATATTTTGATCTGTTACTCTTCAATGTCTACGAAATATATAAAAAACAAACATTATTCAGGAAGGGAACAGCCCATAATAAAAACAACTCATACATACCAGTACCAAAAACAATACAATTTATGTATTACTTAATTTTGTCAGAAATTTAGTTTTGTTGTAACTGTTAAGGGAAAAACCAGTTATACAAAATATATTAATTTTTAAAACTATACAGAGGGGAAGTTGGAATATATTTAACAATAACTTTCCCCACTTCCAAAACATGACTCGTTCATTTTCATCTTTATAATCTTAAGGTGTCAAACTCAGTTATGTTACATTTATTCATGTCATTAGATCAGAAAGTTGTTTAAGATGGTATAAGATGTTTCTGGCGAGATCACATTAGCGTCCACAATTTAAAAATGAAAGCTATCACAACTTTCAAGAAATGAACCTTACAATATATAATTTCATGCAATATCACATTTCCTTCTCTTGAATTCATTTCATTGCCACCTACATTTATGAAAAAAAAAAAAAGAGTATATAAGCAATTACACAGGTCTGCATAGAATTTACAGCACAAAATATTTTATATTATTTATTTAGTCAAAAAACAGTAAAAACTTTATGTGATGCACGAGGGAGAAGATCATCTATGTACGTTTTCTTCAGTTCCAGAAACCCTTCCCATCATTTTATCTATAAATAGTTGAAAGATATGTAAAAGTGAAAGATAAAGAAATACAATTTAAAAAAGCGTGATATTAGCAACATTTGAAAAACTAAAAAAGTTTTGTGCCCAAGTTACAGAAAACTAATTTACAATGGAAAACGAACTGCAGATTTGTTTTTGCTTCATTGCTAACAAAATAATAACCCCTCTCAGCTCTACTCCTACAACTACAAGCAGGAGAGTTCAACAAAACACATGCATAATGAAAGTACATTTATGTCCAGAAGCAAAAGAAGGGGCCATCTCAACATTTGCTCAATGTATCAGGAAAACAGGATAAAAACCTGACAGAGATGGGGGGGGGGGTCATTGACAGGCTGAAGTATATTATTTGTTACAAGCATATTAAGTCTTTTAAAAAATTATATAATACAAACGTGTTGTAAAGTACATGTATGTGGATTTCTGGTAGTGAGCTGAAGATACTGACACTTGATGAATGTGATTTCTACATGTATTGTAATTATAAATATTAGTATTGCATGAAAATATGTTCCCTCTGTTAAGTAAGTCACTTATGACAAATATTACAGTTTCATAAATACATAGAAGAGCCAGTGGTAAGATTTCAAGCTCAATAAAGAGAGACTTGCAGGGATCACGCGGATGCAATTTTTTCATTATTCAAATAATTTTCTTTTGCAATCTGAAGGTCTGGGTATTACATTATGAGCTTCCCCAGAATATTATGCCAAATCCTGAGATTCCCGTCTGAAGGGGAATGCACATTTGTAAAATAATGCAATGAGCTGCATGACGGCTGACAGAATTTCAAAGAATTCTGAATGCGTAACATAATGAAATTAATTTAGTGTTTAATTCTGTTATATGTACATTCCATTTGAGGTTTGACTAAATTGAGTGACCTAGAAATTTTGTTACCTTAACATCAGGTAATTATGCTAATATTGTTCATTAACTAATATTAATTTCAGTTCATCATCTTACATTGTTCATTCTCATATTCTCAATGGAGCATTAGATTGCTGATTTGAAATGAAAAAATACATTGAAACTGTATTTCCTTTGTTAACTATGAATTTGTTATTACAAAATCAATTTAAAACTTCTGAAATTGTACTATTTATGGTTACTTATTTGTATCATATCTATTGTTTTAATTCAGAAAATAATACTTATTCTGCTGTATTACACACAGATTTAGTATAAAGTGCATTTAGCACAAACATATTTGCAACTTTGAAATCATTTTATATGAGATTGAACTCTCTTGTTCAGCACCACTATGTAGCATGGGTTTTAATAATGACTTAAGACCTCAAAACTGGGCTCTGTTCTTATCCATTACTTATGAACAATCCTACACTGAAGCACTGCACTCACCATACTGTCGACTTGGTATTCAACAGAAACAGATTGAGCAATGTTATCTTTGGCCAGTAGACCTATGAAAAAATGTCATGTGTGAGGTATGTAGAAGAGGCTGGGTGAACAATCTAAATTGTTTTAGTTACATATGTGGATGTTGAGCGATTAATAAGCAGGGAAAAAGAGAAAAAGGATCAAGGCAAAAGGTTTTTACAAAAAATATCATTTGTAAAGTATGTATAGAAAATTTAAGATGGTGGTGAAACAAAGAGGTCATTCAACTACGCCTTTTGATTTTCATATAGTTTGGCTTGTACAGCAAGATTACTACAAATTCTAATTTTTGACTGAGAAAAATATTTGTATTTAATTAGAAAGAAGACAGCCATCTCATATCCAAATATGCCATCAGCAAAGGAGACTCCTACCACATGAAGCAGAAGTTCCAATTCCAGCACAACCATTACCATTTTCAGAGTACTACCACTTCTTTCCACTCTCTGGATGCATTAACCATCTAAACAACATGAGTAGAATGTGGATGTTCTGTCATATATTTTACCCGAAATAAGTAGGCAACCAAAATAGGCATATGAACAATGCAAAATCACCATTTAAAAGGAATTATTGTACAAAATTAACAATTAAAATGATTCACAGTTTTATTCTAACTCTAAATTTACATTAGTATTCATATGAATGGAAACTATTTTTTCTTTGTAATCTTGATTCCCATGACCACATAAAGTGCTATTATGAAATATTGAAATGGCATCAGTGAAAATGAGAGTACATTTTTCATTCTTCCCACTAGTGTCATTGCCAGCACTGAGAAGGCTATATCATGTACAGAGAGCTGTCTCGGAGACCTATTGCTGAACAGGGATAGGAGGTCATACTCAAAAGGAGGATGGGATTCCTTGTGAGTGAACAAAGCCTGACAACTTCAATGAAAAAATAAAAATCTTGACTGGTATCAGCCTGTCATTTAAATGTTTAACACTACCTGGCCCTGGAGCCTCAGCTACCTCAGGACAAAACACTACCATGCCTTCTTGTTGTCCAGGTAGACCGATATATTTCTAGCTTGATTGAAATTATGCCATTCGGAAAAAACAGAAATTTTGACACAGGCAATCACCCAAAATTACATAATTAAACAAAACCTGTTAACAATTTGTCTTTGATTAAATTCACAAAAGAGATTTCAGGAGTTGTGTAAAGATCAAAATCAGTATTATGTACCACAATGCATTCATTTATAGAATTTACATTCCGACATTCTCCATAAAGGGGAATTCAACCACCTGATTGTTACACAATTTGGTGTGTGATGTATAGGATGAATATGTATACAAGTTCTAGTACGAATTAAAAAGTATATGTTAGAGAGTAAAAATGGACAATCTATCAAGTTGTAGACTAGTTGCACAACAACAAATATTTAATTTCATGTAATTGTGATGATAATGACTTAGATTCACAATACAGTAGAACATCAGCGATATGAACTAATTATGGGTGAGGTCTGTTCGGATTATCTGAAAAAATGACCCGTACATATTGAAATTCATCTGTAGGATAACCAGACAATGCAACTTAGTGTGCGATGTGAGAAAATGACAACACAGCTTAGTGATTGCATCATCAAGGAAATTCAGTTCCTTACAGCAAAACAAAGTTACTGAATTTGCAACATGGGATATACACCATAGTTACTAGTGGAATAAATGTTTCATTTCAACAACTTGTGTTTAAATAATTAGTTGTTCAGTTCTACAGTAATAAATTATAAAATACTTTTTTTGCACTACAAATAAGTCTTTCATTTATACTGTTTATTTTTCCTCCATCCTGAATTTTGTTTCGATTATCTGAAATTTTGGATTTGCGAGGTTCTACTGCATGCTATGCTAGACAAGTTATGTGTCCATCTGAGGGATTTTAATGATAATCTCCATGCCATAAGTAGCACAAATTTATGCTGACGAAAAAGGCAGAAATGGGCAAAATACCAAAAATGGAAATCAGAAGTTGAAATAGGCAAATAAAAATGTATTAAAACCTATGATTAAGTGATGGCTATTGTTAAAAGTAATGAAATTGTAACAATAATAATCAGTCATTTTTCCAAATTTCTAGGCTCTAATCATAAGACAACAGGGAGGATTCCTTACATTATAGTGTTTCCTAAGTAAATGAGGCTCCAGAGACAGAGAAAGACTAGTGAGTTACAGCACGGCTGAAAATAATACATTTACTGCCAAGGACAAAAATGAAATAAATTGCTCTCTAATTTATTCACAGAAAATTTTTCTATCCCATTTACATATCAAACTAGGAATAATGTAGCAATTCATTAAAGCCTTGGACAAATCATGGCCCTTGTTTTGAACATATTGTTCAAAAATGTCAATTTTTGTCAGAATCAAAAGTGTTCAATTAATCAAAACTCAATCAGATGTAATATGAAATGGAAGTTACACTTACTCTGTTCTTATTTCCAAAACACACTAGAAAGAACGCAAAGAACCACTAAGTGAAGAAGCGGGAGACCGATTTCATAAACAAAAGATGGATATGGATGGGAGATACCAAGGTCAATAAGATGGCTCTATGCTAAATGACTTTTTGTTTTTTTTGTGTTACCTTTGATTTTACATTTCAATTTAAAATATTGTATCTATTAGTAGTATTAGTATCGCTGATGAAATATGGATACTATCAAGAATTTACTAAGGCACTGAATTTTTATTTCCTGCAAATTATGCAAATTTTGCAAGCAAATTTAAATTCAACAATTCAAAATTAGGTTTAGTGTTCAACACCACGCTGCTGGTTTTCACACTTATACATTCATAATGAAAGTCCCTATAAAACCGTATAACATTCAAATGATGAACTTTTAAGTTATTGTTAAGGACCCCAAGGAATTTTCAGGTTGAATTCAGTATTCAGGTTGTTTAATTTCGCTGCTACAAGGTGTTTCAACTAGTTTTAACACTCCACTGGACAAAACTACACCCCAATTTAAAAACAGTGGCACTTCAATGTCATTAGCTGGGCAAAGAAAAGGACATAGTCATCCAAATGGGAGCTTTGTTACAACTTACAGTTTTGATATTGAAGCTCCCAACTGAATTACAATGTCCTTGTGTTCTTCCAGGTAGTGACCTTCGATTTCCATTATGGTTAAATTAGAGTATTCAGAATGAAAAAAAGAGGAGAGCTAGTGTCTTCCATTGCGGCCTTGCTTACTGTTCACCAACACTGCACAATAAAACTTCGGTGTCATTCAAAGGAAATATTGGAACTTGAGGAAATCAAAGATTTATAATGACATTGACAGACTGGCTTCATAAAGTGTGAATATTAATACAATCTTTTTCCCAGGATCTGCCCATGTCTTCTACATAACAAGTAATGTACTGCAGCTTCTGGTCTCAATCAGGTTTTGGTTCAGTTTCCCTGCTCCATTGAGCAAATGCTGAGATGGCCCCTTGTTCTGCTTCTGGAGAAATATGTAGCTTCACCATGAGCATGTTTTGTTGAGCTCTCACCATTAAGTTTTTTCTTTTGACTTGATAAATCGAAAGAAACATTGATAGCAAATCCGGAGTGGAGCGCCAATGTTAAAATACCGAATTTTTGTTTTGCTCATAACATTCAATCTCAGTTACAGGATTTTCTCATTTATGAATTTTTCTCTCTTAAGTCCCCTGAAAAAGAATAAGTGATGTTTTACTGTATTTAGAAGCCCAATTAAAACATAGTGAGGAAAGTAAATATACCATCTTTAACGTTTTCCAGCTTGCTTTGAAACTTGCAAACTATGGAAATGCCACATAGTATGAAATAAAGCAACTATGAGTACGTTTGTGTTGAAACAAATATTATTACCCTCATGTACATGAGAACACATGTTTCAATAAATAACAATGATCAAGGCCGTGTCAAGGCACCCGCCTCCGCCTGGTGACCTGTGTCCAGCCAGGCTCTTCTTCCTCTTGTGGCTCGCTCTCTTCATCCATCTCTAGGTCCCCTGTGTTGGCTTCTGGTACAGGGGCAAGTGACTGCAAACACAAAGAAGAGATGAACTAGATTCAACCTTTCAGAATCTTGATAAATTAATTACTGATTCCAGGCAAGTCAATTTCTAAGGTCATAGGCGTAGAGCATGCATTTTTCCTCAGAAGGTGGCAGTGATCTTGCCCTGCTGGCTGGCGAGAACCGGGGCTGACCTACCTGGTGGATTACGGGGGTTTCCCCCCAACCAGGTGTGTCCCACCAGCAGGGCAACACTTCAGATGGGACAAGCTCTAACCTCCCAACCAATCTCCTGGTATGCATGGTAGTGTAGTGCAAGTGTGTGTGTGTGTACATAAAGGGTGAGGATAGAACAAGGAAGGAAAAGAAAAGATCTCACACCGTCCATGGCCCATTTGTTAGGTATTCACCTGGAATTGATCGGAGAGACCATAGAAAACTACCAATCAGAGCAGACACTAGAATACTCTTCCAGCCAGAGGCTGAAGTCACTAGCTATGTAGTTAGTATCCTGTAAATAGTAGCAAATATCCTGCCTCCATCAGGACTCAAACCTAGAACCTCCCAATCAGGGGCAATTCAGTTACATCAGTTGATGCCTTGAGTCACCTCTAGCAGCCTTATTGCCAAGTCAAACAGGCTTGAGGAAAAAGACAGCAATTCTCCAGGCAGTTGAAACAAATTTTGGGGGGTTCTACAACTATTTCTTACACTCTTTCAAAGGGTTTGCTGTCAGAAGAATGTCCAAATGCTTTTATAAAAGTAATGTTCACATTTTAGAGGAACTTAAAAGAGTTTGGTTGATCCCTGGAAATATTTCACTTGCACCCTTCCAACACATAACAAAACGTATTGAAATTATACAATATATTGAATATATTGTATTGAAATATTAATGTCACTCTAATATCCTTAGAAGTGACCTGCTATTATATTCTGCATTAAAATTGCCAAAGGATTCACCTTGAATGTATTGGAGAAATTGAGTTGGTTGGAATTGTTCCGGGTAATAGCGATAACTAAGGCCTGGAAGTTTATGAAAAGTAATTTTTTAATTATAAGCTGTATAATATACTAATTATCAAATGACCACAAAACACAATCAAACTAGCAGAAATTTTGTGATTTTATATCGCATATTAGTGCATTTTGTATTAGCTGCATATCATGTCACAGCTTTTCACTCACTTAAGTTAGAGTACTTTGATATTTGTCAGCACACTTTTCTATAACAATTTTACTCTATTTTATTTCCCTAACACAACGAGTTAGTTTGATTTATATTCTTAAAAGAGAAATTTACATTACAAACTCAGTAAATAAGACCTCTCAATGGATAAAATCTCAACACTAAAATTCACTCGACAGGAAAGTTCTAGCTTTTTCATTGTCCAATGCTGGTAATGGAATTAATATATTCAGATTATATTTCCTATTAATATTTAATTATTACAAATATTACATCAGAAGTTGGCTTCCCAGATACAAAATATAGTAAAATATTAATTTTCAAGTTCTGGTGTGAGTCGCATTACTGAACTGCACTCGTTCAAAACAAATTGAACAATACATCTAACACTGAAATTTTGTAATTCCAAACCATAATTTACATTTGCAATATTAAGAAAATGTTCTCATTCTTAAGATATCTCTTCTGAGGATCCCTTTGATCTCCATCTTTTTCATATAACTGCTAGATTTACCAGTAAGAAATTAAAAATTGTATGTAATCTTTAACAGCATGTAACGAGAAGTTTGAAGGTGCATTTGCTAGACATGGAAAAAGTAATGGTAAATGCTACGGTAACTATAAATACCCTTGCTTGTTTTTTTTGGATTAATTTCATAAAATTGAAGGTATTACCTGGTCTATTTCACGAGGCTCAGGATTCCATTGTCGACTTTGATTTGCTCTTGAAACAGGAAGATTATCTACCTCTTTCTTTAGTTCATCAACATTTCCTTGCAAACACATTTGGTAGAGTTTACACAAAAGTGATGATATTTCATCTTGAGAATTATCTTCTAACCAGGTATCAAATTGTGTATCCATTACCTCCACAAGAACATCACTAATGTCTTCTGGCTCTACGTTTCCTATAATATACACAAAACTTATAAAACGCAATTGCATAGAAACCAAAATCTTCATTTTTAACATATATCTGGTTACCTCCTTCACAGAATATGTCTCCAATGTACTGCACTAAGTTGTCTGCCAATTCTTGACTTCGAGGACCGCCCGTTCCGTGATCAACTGCAAGCTATAAACATATCTTATATTTACTAGTTTGAGTTATAAGTTATGAATATTTGTAGGTACAAACCTTTAACGCGGTCCAGTTACCCAAAATTCTTTCCACGCCACTGCGAAATAAAGTAATACATTCTTCATTCAAAGGATGAGTAGGGGCTGCCATCCTTGATTTTTGGCTTGTCACAGAAGTTAGCAATTAACAACACATTTCATCTGATATTTTTCCAATAACACCTTAACCTCAATTGCACACGTGCAGTAGATTTAGCATAACAGTTCTCTCTATTCTCTACTCTTTGGTTCCCGAATTCATTTACTCCAGGTTTGTATCATTGGGTCAGAGGCTGTAGAAGTTCTGAGCATGATGGACATTTTGAGTATATTTTAAAGGCGGGGTTTTTAAATGGTGTATCTCTGCAAGTAATATTGGACATAATAATAATAATAATAATAATAATAATAATAATAATAATAATAATAATATTTTACAAAATGAAAGTTAGCGCCTAAACCATATACACTTTTTCCTCCAAACGTGATATTCCCGGATTGATCTGAATGAACTCGAGGCCTTGCGAATTTGAAATAAAATTTTGATTTTTGGGGTACTTTACATACAGCGTTAACATTTTAAAAATTGGCTCAAATTTCGTTCTCGGATAGCGCAAAGGACGCTTAAAATAGTGCAAATCAAATTTTCATTTTAATGTCTGAATTTTCGAAAATTGCAAAAATTATAATATTGTCGGCAGTTTGCTACAATTAAAATATTGAAGAGATATTTTTTCTTAAATGAAATGTGTTGTTCAAAGACAGACCTTGAAGTAAAGGCATGTACACGTCTCGCCATGTAAAATAAGGCATCAATTCATTTCAATTTCTCGAAAATATAAGTAGTATTCGCGTGAAATACACGACTTTGTGTGACAGACAATTTTTAAACAATCATTTTCTCTAAACGGCTCCAAATTTTCTTCGATTTTTTCAGAGGTAGTATAGAACTGTAAAAAGTGGTGCTAGTATCATTTTCGACAAACTCTTTAGTTTCGAAAATTGCCCCAAAAAATTCCATTGAAAAACTACAATATTGATAGAAATTGGCTTTGGAAAATAAGCATTTTGTGTAATGTGTAAATAATAATAATAAACATAAGTAGTGTGTTCTCCAGTTTTTACTTTCTCGCACATACTTCGTAAGAAGAAACATTATAATCGTTATCCGGAAAACGACGAATTTTCGAGAGAAAAACTCATTGCCAGGTCTGTCGTTCAATTTTTTCATTAAATTTTTTTAATGGTTAGTGATAAATAGACTAAGTAACATGACAAATGCCACAAACGTATTTTTTGTTATTTTAAAACTTACGCAAATATATGTTTTTGGAAATATCTCTCACGACGTTACATTACCAGCGTTTCGTATAGCTTAATGCGGTTGTGTCAAGAAGTGCTTTCAAATGGTTTCCAATTGAGGTTCTCAGAAACACACAAGTTTTCTGTGGGAAGAACTTCAAATTTCACATTTACAGGAAAGCTTAAACGACATTTGCTTAGAATGGGATGTGGGTGGTATACTTCTTGTAAAATTGGTACGACTTGTTTTGTATAGAGTAACCTATTTCCTGTATAGACTGATGGTTGCGAGTTGTAGATGTCGGTGATGTTCTTCGTAGGGGACATTTAAAGGATGATCAGTCGGTCTGACGATTGTTGGGAGTTTGGGAGAGATCTAAGGTGAGGTCGAGGCTGTGGTGAAAACTCTGGGGAGATAGAGTCATTGAAAATTTCGTATATTGAATTTTGGGTGGCTACATCGATTTGACTGGAATGTCGGGCGAAGGCTAGAATGAGGGATATTGTCTATGGCGTGGGTAGATTCCGAAGTACAATCGGCCTGTAAGGTGGGGTTGCTGACGAAAAAGTAGTTACGCATTCCTAGGGTGTTGCTGGTCGCGCAACTTCATGTAGTAAAGTTACTGTTCAATTCGCCTGCAAAGATGTGGGAGGGAGTGGGAGGTTAAAGAGATGGTGGTTTAGCCGCTTTGGTGGTATAACGGTTAGCGAATCGGGCTGCTATACCCACGTTTGACAATTTAAACCCGATGGACGTCGTGGATTTTTAAGTGTGAAACAATCCTTCATACGCCTGTTTTCGGAGGGGAAGTAAAGCCAGCTGTCCCATGTCGTAGATTTACATGTAAAAGGTCTTCAATCATAAAAGAAGCCTCGGGTAAATTTAAATTGCCTGCTTCGACGTCCTAGTGATATCTTGTTTCTCCGTTAGACGGTGAAAGGAGCCTAACGAAATTCGCGTGGTCAGACGGCAGAGCTTGCCTGATGGCCCGAGTCTCGCCACGTAAAAAAGGCTTCATTGCACTGGACCTCCCCATTTTCTTTTCCACTACTATTAATTATATAGAAATATCAAAATAATAATGTTTGCACCTACGGGCTATTTGGTTTACCAATACTTTCTTATCTTTGTATCCCTTTCAATTATATACTCTATTTAAATAAACAATTCAATATTTACGCGACCGTAGCCCACAGGTCGTATCGAAGTGGTCCAGTCATGATACATTTTATTTAGCGGGTTCGATAGGCCGCGTATACAGGATATTGGCGGTGAAATATTTACGTATGCTAGTATTTATCTCTTTCTACCTGGGATCGGGGATACTCCTTGCTGTTACACAGGAATAATAATACTTACTTTTGTAGAATAAAATATGCTATTTGTATTCTGCAAGAAACATATGCGGAGGCAAACAGCCCAGTTGAAAACAAAATCCCAATTTCAAAACAAATATGAAAAAGACATGATTATGAACTTCCTCATTGTTGCTTCACATATTATTCTTTTGTACTTCCCTCCCTTAATGCGTACATGACCATTACCTCTCTGAATACAAAACTTGATTTTTCTACATAAGGTGAAATTGAAAAATGTCCCCCGTTTGTTTACTTTCGTAGATGGCTGTGTTATTGACCGTCGTTCAAGGTTCGTTCCACTTCCATTTTATTGGTTTTAATCCACACCAATGTGTCCATTCTTCTATACGCACAAATATAATTTCGCTTTAATTCCGAACTTTTCCTAATAATTACTCATCATAAAGTCATTACTAATTCATGACGCCATCACCCGCGTTGAAATCTATCGCGTCAAAATTACAAGTTACGAAACCAATCTTAGCAACATCAAAATTATCATCCTCACATCCGATCGCCACCGGGTCTACGCATTGTCTGCCCCATTTGTTCGTTCTGTGCGCCTTTCATCTCTCCCGGAGCCCTGCGCGAACTAGTACACAATCGTATTTGTTCTTGCTATTTCTTGTCGTATTCTTGTTGCTTCAACTTATCACAGTATTTTCTATTTCCCCGCTGTCGTTTACGTCCCCATTCCCTTATATTATTATTTATCATACTTGACTCCTTTGTTTATTCGATTACCCGAACACTATTTTCTGATTGGTCACTCACGTTTACGTAGTATATCTGTGTATTCTCTGGATCTTGTCGTAATCATTTTACTTATTTATTTTCACCCCCATGGAATTTGCTCACGTGTTCTTATGTTGTTTCAACTTATCACAATATTTTCTATTTACCCGCTGTCTTTTACGTCCCCATTCCCTTTTATTATTATTTAACATACTTAACCATACCATATTTAATATACATAACCTATCACAGTATTGATGGAGGGTTTGCAGATGTGTTATAGAAAGGGGAATGTATGTGGATATAACCAGGGTTGTGCCATATTTAAATACTTGTATTTGAAATACTTTTTTAAATGCATTTTGTATTTGATTATATAAACACATAAAATAGTATTATTTAATTATGTATTTGTAGTTATTGCAGTAACTACGCCCTAATGAAGGTTGCAGAATGGCGACCGAAACGTCGACACACACCCTGGTATCCTGTATTGCCAAGTACATATAGTTATGAACCATTTCCGCAATTAATTTGATAAATTAAATAACAAAAAACAACATTTTAAAATATATATTCTGTCAAGTAATACATTTCGAGTACTCTCGATATACAGATTTATGTGTCACATAAAAACGTTGGTGGGATAGTTATTTACTGGATGGAGCACTAATCTCGTATTTCCTAGAAAACGCCATACATCAGTAACGGTATATTTGATTGAAACTGCATGTAGCCAATGAAACTGGAACAAAAGGTACTTAAGGTCATAATCCAACAAACGTAATTGAAATCATTTCATTGTTTCAATAAATAAAAATATAAATGAATCCAAATCTGCCTACATTTCAGACTTCAGTCAATGACCACGTAAGGTAACAAAGCCAATGAATTTCCCGCGTAGGAAGGTCTGACAACAGTTTCATGCCATCCCCGAAATAAATTCGAAAGTGATTCACGATTATTATTGTTGCAGGGCAAGTTATAGTTCCCATTGACTCCTTCAAAATGTTCACTCTGCATTCTATCAACTAAGCACTGAATATCTTCCGGAGCTTTAACTTTGGGTTCACAATTCTGCGATTCTGTCCAATTTATATCAGTAACATTAAGGGGAGGCAACTTTTTGAGGATATCTTGAACTTCGTCGATGTTGTCCTCAGCATCGTATTGATCTAATTCAAAAACTGCTGGGGAGTCTCCAACATTACAACAATCGTTTGTATTGTTAAGAGAAATCTCTTCATTGGAATTGCTGGAACCAACATTGATGTCATTCGGAAAATCACTGTTTGGATAATCTACATCCGGTGATACAGCGTCGCAAATAGTACCATCATTCCACTGACATTCTTCTGCTGCCAACATACCGAAAGTGACATTTGGCCCACGTCTTTGCTTTTTGCATGGTACATCGAAAGTATTTGTTTCAGACGCACAGTTCCGACCAGACGGTATTTCTTTACGATAAGACGTCCGGGCTTGCAAAATAGCCTTTAATTCTTTCGTGTTGTGCACCTGACGCTTCCGTACCAAAACACTTTGTAGTTTTCTCTTAGTTTTCCAATCGTATTTTCGCTTGAAATATTCGTCTTCGAATTCTGTTGCCCGCGTTGCCAACACGCTTTGAGAACCAGATTTCGCATTGCTCCCCCAAACCGAGATGTCATGGCATTCGCGAGAATTCCCCGACCCAACCTTGGACGGATACGTAGGTTTCGGCTTCCTTGAAACTTCCCCGGAAATAAGAACTTTGACGTGCTTCTTCGACTCAACGGCACGTTCCTCTTTCCGGTTCGCCGATTGTTTAGATGTCTCCTGCCCAGAAATGTTCCCCTTCCCGTCCAACCCGCACGCGCTCGCTTGAGACGTGTGGTTTTCATCCGAC